CCTCAGACGGTTTATTAACACACCTAAATCTCCGTCTTACACAATATTTATGCAGACGCGATCCCCCTTCCAAAAGCCGAGCTTTTGTCGGATTTCCCGTTTTCTATCCACCTGGATTGAGGCCAAAGACCCCCTTTTCTCAAAAACCGACACATTTTCCCCTTTTCTTTTCTTTTTCTTCTTCTTTAAAGCATGAACGTTCGGTGTTGCAGATTGGCAGAGATGAACGGATTGTATACGAACAAGTATTACCGAGCAGAGTTAATGCCATATTTGGCTTCCAAGTTCTGCTCCCATTACCTCCTTTTTCGCGACGAGAATTGTGTTCTTCTTCCGTTTTATATATCCCCACTTTCTTCTTAAATGGCAAAAATCACGAAGAACAAAGAAATTCGAAGTTGCTCAAGGATTACCAGTTGGTGTGATATTTCAGAGACACCATACTAATAATCGTTTGTATTATGGAACTAGGTTGAAAATCCTTTAGACCTACTTATCCTTCCTTTCCCTTAGCTTTATCTTTCTACAAACTCTATAACAACGAAGGTTGATACCGTTTATTCCTCCTTTAGAATAAATTTAAGATATTTAATTAAATTATTATTTCTTCGTCAACGAGTTTCTCAGTAAAATAGGTATTTCAGCCTTAAATTGTATTGATATTAGCTCTACAAGAGCTTTTTAAGGATTATAGTTTCACTCTGTCTTTGGTTATTATTGTTTTAAAATTAGTTTTTAAAAAGCGGCAAATATTCATTAGCGCTGTCTTTTCAGACATTTAGACCATGTTCCTGGAGGAAATAATCTCATTGGACAACCATAACATACAAGCATGTCGTACCGTCGCAGTTTAACTTGTACATTTTCTTTTGGATATTGCAAAATTGTAGGCCTACTGAGACACGTTCAACAGTATTCTTTTCCTGTTTTTGTTTGTTTATACGGCTGCAAATGTTAGTGTCTCTTCTTTAACTCTTCGGGTGCCAACGTACTTTCCGTCGGAGTTGTGCGATATGCAGTTGGGTGTCGCTGCTGCACCTCTGGCACTGATCTGACATTCACAGGATAAACACATAACTTGTTTTCTGACGAGAAAGGGTCCCTTGGCTCGCCCGATTAATTTGGAAAGCACATCACTTTGTGCTCAACATAATCCCCTGTGGTCCCACCTACTCGTATCCATGTGCCAAGTTTTGGCGCTAGAATTCTGACAACCTACCAAGGGCAAGGCCAAGTCGGCGCATCAGTGCAGCCGTTGTGTTTGTTTCAGCACTGTACTGTAGGGAGGGTGACGATCACGTGCAAAATATTTTGCATCTTCATTTATTTTACCTTTGCCTGATATCGTGTTGATTAGCGACTATTTTTTTTTTGTCGTAAGCAGGAAACGGTGGTCCCTTTCAATTTCGGTGGAATAGCATCAAACCTGCTGATTACCGACGTGCATTGGCAGGCTCGTATACTGATGACGCCTCTAGCATCATACTGAGGTTAAGTCTACCACGTATCTCTATCCCCTCTCTCTCCCTCTCTTTCTCTATCTCTGTCTGTGTATCTTTGTCTCCCTTTCTGTATATCTGTCTATATGCCTGTCTCTCTTTCTAGCTATTTTTCTCTCTATCTCTCCGTTTCTCCTCCCTCTCTCTCTCTCTCTCTCTCTCTCTCTCTCTATATATATATATCCCATTATAACCAAGTAACTTTAAACGCAACATACAGTATCTACCGCTTTATAGTCTAAATTTGATGACATTTCAGAGTTTGAACAATATTTTCTCCCGTCTGTCTCACCGCGAGTCCGTTGACTTATTGGCGGTTAACCCCCCCCCCCCCGGTTGTTGTAAAACCTGGATGTGCTCCCGTATTAAACTTGCGGATGTTGGCATCGCAACTTGCGTAATGCCAACATAGGATTCGGAAGGAAATATTCATGGGGGGGGGAGCAACTCTGCCACGCACTCTATTCAAAACATGCACGAAACAATTTGATTTGGATTGATATTTGTGTTTCTTGCTTGTTAAAGAGTGTAAAGAAATAATTCATCTTATGAAACCCGCCGCCCCTTCTTTGCGATTTGTTATGAGCCCCCCCCCCCCCACACCCACTACAGCCCCTCCTCCTCCTCCATCAGACAATCATGTCGAAATGTGACGAAATTCTGTCTGACATGTACATGGAGATAGGCATAAGTGAACAGCAATGCACTCATTATGTAACTTCTATACTTCTATTTGGTTGATTGAGTGTGGTTTGGTTAATGTGTGTGAAACGCGGTTAAGTAAACCTATAAATTAAAAATCACTCAATAGTGTTTTCATAGTTTATCGCGCAAAACACTTCCGAAATGAGCAAAGAATTGCAGCTAATCCCTTACGCAGTGTTTTTCTCAAAATGGAGTTTGAAAGTCTGCTTAACGGCTGCTTGAGTAAACACAAAACAATTCCCTACATTTAGGGAGTCTCGCTTTAATTGGTTTGAATATGCAATTGCGATTAGCGGTGTCAATATTTGTGAATAAACTACTACTGAGTTTTCAAAGCTCATTGTCAGCTTATAAAGCTTGGTGTGACTCATGTTAATTAAATGCAAGTTCGATTAAGTATTCACTTAAAGGAAATTCCATTTTCATTATCCTTTCTCCCCCCTCCTCTCTCTGTTTTTCTCTCTCCAATCGCTCTCTTTTTTTTCTCTCTCTCTCTCTTTTAGGCTCTCTTTATCTCTCCTTCTTTTTTTCTCTTTCCTGCTTGACCGTCTTGTACTTTTGCATTTCTCTTTAGCTCTTTTTCTTCTTATTATTATTTTCCTCTTTTTGCAATTTCTTCTTATTTTTCCTCTTCTTTTAATAATAATAATAATAATAATAATAATGATAATGACAATAATAGCGATAATAATAGTAGGCATTTTCACCGTATGTTCCTTTGTAGTTACATGTTTATTTTTCTTCAAGCAGAAAAGAATAATATATATCATACAAATTTACAATAAAACGATATGCTAAACGCAAAATTAAGAGAAACGTGTTCTATGGTTTTTATGAAGATGATTTCCTGTAATTCTTTTGAGTTTTTTTTATACTACTGGTTCAAACAATTAATATACTGCAGGATAAACAATCCAGAATGACTTATCGCCATATTCTCTCGACATTCGATGCCCATACCAGAGCTCATGCAAGAATAGCTTTAAAGAGAAGGTTGAGTTCTGGGGAGAGGTAGAAAATAATTTGTGAGCGTTATCATTGTTATTATGCAAGTGTGGAAGAACATCAGAGAAAAAATGTTCCCTAAAAAGCATGACTCTTCAAATGCCTCCATATTCTAAATATGACAAGTAACAGTTTAAAAATGAGTCCTGGTTTTTATGCCATATGTTTGCGTAGTCCCAGTATACATCTTTCTGTGTACAGTGCTCGTAACTTTACCAAGACTGGGTCAAATTTGTTATCATTTTGATGATTCCAGAATCTTGCAGTACACACCGATACTTATATGCTAAATGATCAACCTTTTCTGAACAATTCCGCACCGATTCTTTCACAATGCAATCGCGTGACCAGAACTCAACTTTATCTTTAAGTGTAAGAAGTGGTACGAATGCTTAGCTACAACCTAATTTAAAAGTCAGCCTGTCATTCCAAGAGATAACAAGGACACCTCTATATCCCTTGATCGGATCAAGTTAATCCTCTCAGCTACGGATCCGCTTCGATTGATGAGAATAGAGACTAAATCGAGTTGAATTAGAAATCGCTTAACACCGTAACACTCTCCTCAGATACCTCGAATCAAATCAGTCGAAATTGATTTCGTTGTTTCTTCTTCTTTCTTCCGTTACTTGAATTAGTAATAGAACATAAGAAAGAAAGCAGGGACATGGAGAGAGAGAGAGAGAGAGAGAGAGAGAGAGAGAGAGAGAGAGAGAGAGAGAGAGAGAGAGATGTACAATACTGTCAAGGTAAACAACTCATACTAAGCGAAATCTTAAACTATTGCACTTTGTAAACAGAGTTTGACAAACTCGTTACGATTTACCACTAATCTTTCGATGGGATAAAGCTTCTGCTTTTTCTTTGCGAGAAACCAATGTGTGTTTGAAACCTATCCTATTTAAGTTTTGGGTATATCAGTTCGAAATTCCTCAGAGAGAGATAAAAGAAAACGCATTCGCCAAGGTTGTCATCCCCTGCATTCATCCCTCTAAACATGTCAACTTCTCAGCTCTGCATGTCAAAAGTTTTGATGAAGAAGCTTTTACAAAGGAACATTAAGCATCACGCTTCAGACTTAATCCCGAATTTGTCTTATCTCCTTCTATTTCCAAACTCTTCTCCCCTGCTCGAGTGAGAGAGAAAGGTCTCTTTTGGTAGGTAAACCACTTGTCCATGTGAACTGTAAATAGGGGCGATTGTGTTGGTCAAAATCGGCAACTAATCGTATTATCTGAACGTTCGCTTTTATTGAAATCTTTATTTGTTAGAGAGTCGCCAGAGCTCGAACCAAACCACTGCTCTTCCCCAAATCAATGGGGGCTGCTTGATGGCCCGGACTCTGAGCTTTTGTTTCTTGCAGTTATCCTACAACACTTGCATCGTGTATTAGGGCGTGAAAAACAAGTTTCCATTAAGTGCACAAACATTCTTAAATCCATTGCGTACCGTGTTGTTTCAACATACAGTACACGCCGATTCTCAATAGAGAAAGAAAAATAAGGGAAGAGTTACACAAAAGATGAACGGCTTTTAGGAGGAGTATGTTGACAAAACATATCGACTTTTCAATGTGTGTTTATCTGTTTTAAGAACGGTTTTATTCTTCTCCACCGCGAGTGCTTCAGAATGAGCTTCCGGATAAGTGGGAAGGTCGGGATGTAATGATATTTTTGGAGGATGCATTTGTCGATGGAGTGGGGAACATAAAAGGAGACGGCATCTCGAAAATCAAAATCGAGTTCTTAATCGCTTATGTACATTCATCGAATGACGTCATCGCGGGGCAGAAGAGGAGACAGCAAACGAAAGGAAAGTTGGAGATAAGAAGGAGAGGGGATATTCTTGATTGAGGAATGCAGTAGAGTTGATTCTAGATCAGGGGTAAAGAAAGTGAGGATGTTTTCCTGTCCTCTCCATGGTAGCCGTTAACTTCAAGGCACGCCTGGTCATTTCGTTTGACTTCGCAAAGCGCACATCGGGGAAGCACCACCAAAACTCGTGCTAGTCATCTACCAATCTCTTCACTCCCTCAGCATTCATTTTCAACACGTGTCTGGTATATTTTGATAGATATCATCATAGTTTGATGTTTGCTTCATAATATACATCGTCGGTTGTGTAATGAAAGAGCGTTGATTATTTTAACTTTTCGATATATCAGCTAAAACCAGCCAGAACCAAATGAAGGTGGACGCTCTTTTCATCCAGTTATCTAATTTTTAATCAGTTCATCACCTATACAAAGCAAATGGCCACTTTCGCAATATTTGACTCCGTTCTGACGCCATTGTGACGCCAAATCGAGGAAAAATTCTATCAAGAAATTAACAACCCAGTCTGGTTTACCAGCGCTAGCCGTTCACACTGTTGACTAATTATTTTTTCATAAACTGGATTAACTCTTTGAATAAAGAGTACATTCAACAGTATTTCATATATTCCAGCGTCATATTACGACATTTGTTTTCGGACGTCGGGCACTACTTGAGACGATTATGTTGAGAAGTAACGTAGTAATGACAGCTCTATCATCGTTAAGGAGATAACAATAACTTTACTTGGTGAGTTTAATATTGCAACCGGATGGTCGTGATTTGATCATTTTCATCATTCATTTTGATCGAGTAAAGGGAGGAAGGGAAAGAGAGGGAGAGGTAGAGAGAGAGAGAGAGGCAGACCAATCGATGCAGAAGAAGAAACGGTGAAATCTCATCATATCCCTTGATTATATGTGTATACATTTTAATTATTGGTATTATTAGTTTAAATTATTATGATAATTTTTGTTTTTTTGGGGGAACTCAAAATTATCCTACAAATGTTTGTCTAAGCCATGTCACAGCTCCACTCATTAATGAAGCATAATTATAGTTCCAGGGCACTATCGCTTACACGACGACGATGGCGCGGCGACGCCTTTCATTCGGAATCATGCATTCGTCTTGTATACGAGATCGTAAACAGAGTCAAGAATAGCAGCCATTACTTCGCATTGCTAAGTAGATCGAGTACTCTTGAGATTGCAGACACCCGAGTCTCTAAGTTTGGAACTATTTTGAAGATGCGGCCTGATTGTGGCTTTTAGGTGTATCCTGTCGAGTCAACGAGCCACTCTATATTCTCATCTCTCCTTCTCCCCCTCCCTCTGACTTCCGCACCTCTCTCACCACCGTTCATTATCTTAAATGCACTTTCATCCCCCCTCCTCCTCCCCCTCCTCCTTACTTTCCTCGGAAAATGTCTTCTCCCATTTTCTCTCAACTTCGTGAGTATTTTCTACCCCCTTAATCCGGGTCGGATATAGGTATCATATTCCCGGCGTAATTCTAGGAGGCTTTTAATTAGAACTTTTCAACATGAGCTAGAATTTGGACTATCATTATCGTTGCTTCTCTCTTTCAATTTGCCGCCGTTTTCCTTCTGCATGTCGACCGTAATACGTCATTGCGTGTACTTAGTCTATATTTTCTTGAGAAATGTTTGCGTCGTGTATTTTTGTAGATTTTCGTCGCTGATCAGCGTCATCAAGTTTAAAGTGCAATGCCCGTATTGGCGTACAAACCCTTCTTTTTAAAACCCTACATGTAGTGTCTAGTCGTATGTAAAACGCCCACTCTACGTCACAACACAAATGGCATCGTCCCTACATATACATTCCACTGTAGATTAATATAAGCATGATCAATTCGAATGTTGTTTTTAAGAATTGATATTTTGTTTACAGTTTTAGCAGATCGAGAAATGAATTAATGTAAGTCTGTATACTTTGTTAAGTTTTTCTTTTGTATACGAAATAATGAAAATGGAAAAGGGTAGGCCTGACGATTTTGAAAGACAATAGTAATGTTATCATAGTCATGAAGATTGTTATGTACATGTATACGACTTGATTACATGTATCACCATGTTTTCATTCCCATGTTTTTTGTTTCTTCTTTTTCTTCTTCTTCTTCTTCTTCATCATCTTGCATGAAAAAAGGAGGAAAGGGGGAAAGGGGGGGGGGGGGCGATTTCAGACCAACCCTCTGGAAATTGACAGAAACATTTCTTATCAGCTGAAATTGTTTGTATGTCAACACACGTTGCATCTGAGGAGGCGCGATAGGTCAGTTGGTAGAGCAGTGGTCTCGTAATCCGGCGACCCGGGTTCGAAACCAATGCGATGCGCTAGTGCCCCTTGGTATGGCATTAATCCTCATTATCAGGACATAAAGCCGTTGGTCCTCTGGTTGATTACTAACAATCATTAATGCTTTCTTAGCAGTCAGGTAAAGTAACCACCATCATTTCACTACCATATATAAAATTGTCATTACTTGTGAATTTCATGCTATTACATTTACACATTTGTTTGTTTTCTTCAAAGATACCATATCATGTAAATTAACTGACTTTCTTCTCCTCTCGTTTGTTTCTTGTAGAAACTCTCTAGAAATTGACAGATACATTTCATATTAGCTAAAATTGTTGCTTTTTCAACAAACGTTTACTTCTCATTATTGGTAAATGCCATAGTTAAACATAATATTATACATATATATTTTTTATTTTTTATTCAAAGATACCATACAATGTAAATTAACCGAATTTGTTCTCCTCTCGTTTGTTTCTCTTAGAAACTGGACAATGGACCCTTTCAGGGTACTTCTTTATATGGTAACATTCCTGCTATATGTGGTGGGACCCATCTCATCGTTTCGGCTCTGTGGGCGGGAGCTCGCCGATGCCCTGGCTGTCGTCTGCAAAGGGCGAGGATACTATATCGACGATTCAGAGATCGCACAAAAAGGTAAGTTCTAGCTACAACACACCCCCTTCTCCAAAAAAAGAACTAAATTAAATAACAGGAAAAGACTCTCCTTTCTGCCTCACATAATTATATTTATATAATTTTATCCAAGGACTGAATAGATAATCAAAAATTAGAAAAAGACACGAATTGAAGAAAACGGTATTGACCTCTACACCCCCACCCACCTACCTAAAAAGAGAGAGGAAGAACAAAATATGAATGTTCAATATTTTACTTTATTATGACTCTACGATCTGAGGGGATCAAACTTGGAAGCAAACAAATACGGCTACTTTATTTAATATTTATTTTGTTTTAAATCAATTGATCAATAAAAAGGTACCAATAATCGGACAAGTGGGTACAGAAATTATATTGCGAGTAATGCTAGTTCTGACATTTCGACTTCAAAGAGTATCAAGTATTTCTGAATTTGTTTGGTTTTTGCAAACCTATTTACGAAATAATGATTATGTTGCCCTATACCTCAAGAACCTTCCATGAGGGTTTAAACAAATTGAACATTACGTAACATTGATATTTCTCCGGATTAAAATCATAACATCTTCCCGATAGCGGTGTCGATAATTAGAGGGAAAATTCAAATCATGTTCAGGACTTTCCCAAAGCAGGTTCATTGCTTCCGTAATTTCCTTCTTTAGTCGTGACATTTGGACTTGCTGAAAAATAGCTTTTGCGGCTGAAGGCAGGTTAATACAAAATAACGTACTTGTGGTATTTAAAGCAATAAAACAAGCAGACAAGCAAACGAGCACACAATAAATAAAACAAAAAAACGCCGTGCCGAAAAAAAAATAACGGCCTTCTTAATTAGTAAGTATTTGGTTGCTTTATTTACATTTCTCTGCAACTCTCTATCAAAATGTATCTAAAATCTAATGATAGTTGAAAACAATTCTTTTAATTTGTTTAATCCCAACTATATAGTGCGTGTACAAGAGCATTACGCCCGCAAAAAATCGGGTATTAATTATATATATATATATATTATATATTGTAAGTGAATTCAATTCGTATGGATTGGTGAATTTGTGGTGTAAGATATTTAAAACAACCAGAATTTGGTCTAGATCCACACAAGTATTGACGAATATTAGTTTCCCATCTGCATCTATGAATGTTATTGTTGCAGCTTAACTACACGTTTGTTTACATACTTCATGTTATTATATCAGATCAGTAGGATGGTACTTGTCTCTAATGCTAGTATTAGTATAAACTCGGCATAATCTAACATATTTGAGCTCGCTTATAATCGGCTTAAAGCGATCTCTCTTATCGTCACATTCCGTTAAAGTGGATGAATTTTATTGTTGACTATGTATTCATTCTGCCTTCAAAAATATTCTTAATTTGTTATTTGTATTGATAGTAGGCGGTATTGGTATGCGCTCTGAAGAAGCCGGACTATTTTATGTTGCAAATCGGCTTATTAAAGTGAGCTGTCTCTTTCTTAACTGCCAGTAAAGGTGAATCACTGAGTAAAACGAGTTGCCTTATTAATCCACTACCAAGGTCACGCCATATGTTACTGGAATGATTGACGTCTCATTTGTTTCCAGACAAATAATATGGGCTTTCTCGGGTATTTATGTTTCTACCCCCCCCCCCCCCCTCTACCTCCACTCCCCCATTTATTTCCGTAGTTACTATGTAGCAGTATTATTGTCAACCGTTATTTGTCCTCGCGTTATTTTGATTAGGACATACTTATGTTAGATTCTGACCTTTATTTTCTCCGCCCCCTTTATTTCTTTCCACCCGTCCAATGTATTACTTGCATCAATATCTTTTAATTTACTAGCCAAGTTTATTAAGGTTTTCCTACGTTAGATTCCAACTGTCTACTTTCATTTCGGTTACCATCTCCACCCCCTATTTTCTTGCAGTTTTTATCTTCCCCCTGTTTTTACTGGCATCTGCATTTTTTCTTTGAGTAGCGAAGTTACTAATTTTGAACAAAATGATTCCAGTATGCTTGCACTGCTAAATGGAAATACTTTAAGTTTTGTAACATTGCTGGCAATACTTATATCACCATTATGTACGATCAACACGATAAATCAATGTTTCAACAAGTCCTATCCCGGGTGAATGGCGCCGGAAATAACCGGAAGTAATAGCGGGGTCATTTGATAGACAATTCAAACGAAGGATTGTAAACCTGTCGATAGTATGTCTGTTGGGTCAGGAAATACTAATGCCTCGCATGGATTACGCATTGTCTGCCAAGACTCAGACATCCCCTTAAGTATATTGTACTCTCCCGATCCTCCCTTCTCTCCCCCACCCTTCACATCTCTCTTTACCTCTCTCTCCTCTCTCTCTCTCTCTCTCTCTCTCTCTCCATCTCTATTTCTGTCTCTTGCTCTTTCTCTCCCTCTCTGACCTTTTCTCTGAATTGCCTTCTTCCCTATTACCCCTCCCCTCTTTCTTCCTATCCTCTTTCTTAGTTTTATTCTCCCCTCATTTCAACTCGTTTCTATTGGTAGCCAGTGCACATTTCAAATTTTTCTTCCTTAGTCTCAAAATACAAATCAAAACTTCTATAAAACCTTATTCTGAACAGAACTGTCATAATGGCAGATCAATCGCATTCCTCATGTGTTCATGTTCTTTAATTTGGGATTTTTTTTTTTTTTTTTTAATTCTTGGCCATTTCTTGTAAAGCTACTTTTCTCAGATCTCGAATAACCGTCTCAGAGATGGTTGCAGAATGAGTGTTACAAATCGATATTCGCAAATGTTATTGTTTCTATCCGCACAATAAGCAGAAAATGTGTTCTATATTTCAAATCTACAGATTTATAGGCCTATCCTGATCTCATGCTAAAATTTCCCGAGCTCCCCAGGTCTACTTTTCGACAAAAAGTATAACCGAAACTTATCGCAAGATGGCGCTATGATACATCTATCGACGTGCATGTAAAACCGTCACTCCGATAGTGGGTGACCCAAGACTTGCAATATGAATATGTTTATATAGAAGACAATTTTTTTTATTTGTCTTAATGATCAGTTCCCTCTTTCTTTTCTTTCGAACAGATTCGCCGATTGTACCCCATCATGTCGCGTCAAGCTTCTTGGGTTCGTCGAGCGCTTCAGCTCACAGTCGGCAACGGCGGCGGGTCCGGACAGGACAGATCGTCAACGAATGTTGCGACAAGGAGTGCTCAAACAACATCATGGAAAGTTATTGTAACAGAAGAACTCCCGAAGTACCCCCCGAAAGCGTCATCTCAGAGAACCCATCAGAAGAGATAACGGAAGACTCCACGTTGCGCACAGACGGCGAATCAACGGAGATACGGACGGACATAAATCCCGCCACTAATCTTGAAGTGCCGAGTCCGGACGAAAATACGCCGGACGCAACCGCGACGTCGGATGTCGAGCAACCGCGTTCCGATAATACAACCGCAGTAGAAAAGCCGAGGAAGAAAGACAATGGCAAAGGCAAAAATTCTTCTTTAGAGTCGTCAACAAAAAAGAACAGGACTTCCAAAGGTATGAGTAAAGAGGATAGAAGGCGGATTGCCAGTGATGAAAGGAGGGCTAGTAGGGAACGAAAGAAGGAGCTGAGCCGGGAGAGGAGAAAGCGGTTGAAACTGCAGCAGAGGAAAGACAAGAAGAAAAGAAGCGGTTGGAATCAGCGGAGAGGAATAGAGGGACAGACCACATGGGGCTGAGCGAAGACTCGACGCTGCTTGCAAGGGAACCCTTAGGCATTGATGTAAGTAAAGCACAAGTACTTTTATCTTACAAAAATCAAACAAATACATAGCAAATTAGGGTTTGATGTTTTCTTTTAGGAAATAATGTCATTTAGGTGCTGTTGTAAATGAACTCTTTGAGCTCAGTAATATAGGCTGTTCATATAATCTCATTGAGAAATTATTCAAACTCTTAAAAATGTACTTTCCTCTCTTTCCTCTCCAGGTACGAAAGCGGTTTCATCACACGCCGCGGTCATCGAGAGAGCAAGCGTCAACAGCGACACACGCGTTAGACGACGATCCGGCGACGTCGCGGCAAGAACGACGCCGAACTCAGTCTCGTCCTAGCTCGCGAGAGCGAAAGACGCATAGAACGACAACAGCGACAGCGAGGGAGGAAGAAATGCAACGTGAAAGAAGGAACGTTATGCAACGCCTTACCGGTCTGTTTCTCTGATAACGCTGTGTAATGCTAGGACAGATTTGTCAGGTTCTGCGGGACTATGTCAGTAACTTACAAAGATGACGCTGGTATTTGCAATCTCGTGACTCTGAAATTATCGGAGATGTAAAAGAATGAACCGATATTAGGCTCCTGCTGCAGATAAACAATGGTGCCGAAACTGTAACGAGGACCAAGACCTGTATCTTCATGATATGCAAAGGAGTGTATTCATATTTGCTACGATTGTGATACGACGTTACTACGATTTGAGGGCGATGTGTGTACGGTGTTACCAAGATGTAACTACGATGTTGAGGTACAACACATGCTGAAGAGATACAAAGCTGCTTTAACATGAGAAAGTGTCCTTTACGCATGTGGCGAGTGATGGGTTTCCTTAACGATCGTTTTGAGGATGTTGCATGGCAACATAATAACTATGCAAACTAAACATTATTGATTGCAGACGTTTGGGATCATAACGATGACGGCTATAACTGAAATGCAATCGTCAGATAAAACGTAACCAATAACTTTGAAAATTGCCACGACCTTCGGCGATATTTGATACCACGATGTGCCACGAATGTGACACGAAAAATCCATTGTATTCATTTATTTTCCCGACTTTGGCTGAATTTTGTCGTATTATGGCTGAACCAGTTGCTGAATTTCGCTGATTTTTTTAAAACTGTATTTTACCTGTCTTAAATTTTAAATTACCAATCGTTACACGTTCCTGTAGCAGTTTTACTTTACTGTATATACAATCTGAAACTTATTTTTAGATACAGTCATAATGATGTATATGATAACATAACATTAAAACGACGGAGGTTTTGTGAGCATTATGGAAAAAGGTGATTATAAAGAATCCATGGAATAGATTGGAATTAACAAATTAACAGATGTACAATTAATATTAGGGGAACGAGACAGTAACTTTGATAACTTTGATGAGTGAAAATAATTTTTTCTATTTATTGTAAACAATAACTAATCAATTCTACATGACGTAGAGTAATTTTCTATTTTAAAATGTGACGATTTTTGTCGAGATGTAAGTGCGCTTCTCTGATCAAAATAATCTTTTCTAATTTATTTTTGTTCGCAAGAAGGTGACTAGAAATAAGAAATTTTCTGCTACAGCAATTTGTTTTCATGATTAACTATATTATTTAGGATCAATCTAGATGAAAGTGGACTCTAACCTACAAATAATGTTATTCAATAGTTTTATTGTGCATTGTATTCATTTTTTGTACAAAGAATAATGTATTCACTTGACTGTGATATTTTTGTATTTTTTCTATAGAGTATGAATCCTGATGAATCGTTCTTTTAACATTTGAACTGTGTAAATATTCATTTGGAACCTTGGTATTCCGTTTTTATTTAAATACATTGGCGATATATTATAGAAAAAGCCACGAACGTGGTATGTATTTATTGATTGTAATAATGATTTCATAAGGAGACTTACGTGAGCCTACTCTTAGCATGTTTGTGGGTTGTAATTCTTGCAGTTATGGCGTCCCATTTCCTTCTCCTCGGCCCCTCCTTCTTTCCGAGTCTTATCCATGCCTCTTCTCTTTTTTTAAAAATATGCCATCTCGAATGTATAACGGTACCTGCAGCCTGCACTTTGTCACTTTGTCTATTAATACATATCATCATTATCATCTGAGCATTTAAGTAAGCGATACAATAGTATCCTTCAAATTTAAAAATATTGTATTCACTGAATAACTATACAAGGATTGGCAAAGAAAAAAATACCTTTATAATGCATCTACGTATCAAAGTGATGTCTCCGCGACCGTTTAGGTTTTTTGTTTTTCTTTATTTTTAAACAGGTTTATCCTCTATAAAGATACATTATCGCTGTAGACTGCCTTTAATTTTAGTGAGATCTCGGTCGTTCCGTATAAATTATCAATGGAAACTTGCTGCCGCTTTCTTTTGTTTTCTTCATGTTATTACTTATTTGAAGAAAAAACTATTAAACACAGTCTGATTCATTAAAGATGTTATAATTGATTAAGCTACATTTCATGACATTTACAATCATCTGGGGTCGTATGTTCATGCACTTATAATTTCTTCATAACCTTCCTTGAATTAACAGAGCATTTATTTGGCTTAAAATAACGAATCCAATCGGATACTAAATGAGTTAAATTTAGTTGAATTTAACGAATTAGATAGTATAACACATCTTATCACGAGGTTTAAAAAGTTGACATGCAAGACAATTATTTTGCGGAAATTGTGTTTATTTATAGATAACTTAACTTTAGCATAACAAAGTAAAAAATAAACACAACCAAATGTCTTTTTCAATCTAGTATTAATTATGATATTATAAACATAACACATTTGTATTCATGCCTATTAATACTGATACCTACCAGTTATATGACCAAATATACAAATCAACGTGTATTCACTGTTTGTATTGCACGAATGATATGATATCTATTTAAACAGCTGCACTTTTGTGACATTTATGCTCGATTCACTACAAAGATTATCTTCTCGCTTTAAAATACATGTAGTTTGAATGAAAGGATTTTTTTTTAAAGTGTCAAATTTCATTTGTATAGCATGAAAGGGAAATCGTAATTATTTCAACTAGTATTACATGATTTAAAATGAGTTTTTTTAAGCACTCCAAAACATTTCTTTTTTTAGATGAAAGCTTTTGATGTGAAATATTTTTCAAACGTAATACCTTACTAGATCTTAAAATGTTGCTCCTAAAAATGTATAACATTATATTTCGTATAAAACTGTATACAAGAGTTTTAATCACATTTTTTTTTAATAGAAAGACTCAAGAGTTTTTTTTTTCCTGAAAAAAATTGCCTCATCTCCTACCTCCATTAAAAAATTATTATGGTATTGTTATGAAATAGTCAATACGTTTAATGAACAAAATATCAAAACATGTTTGACCTCATCATTATTATTTTTGTAATTTTTACTAGTCCAAAAAAGTATTATTAGAATTTAAAAAAAATCACACTTCTAAAAATCTTTGTTATTCTAACGTATGATTAAAACCACCGAACCTATATGTTTAATTTGTATAATGATGATTATGTAAATGGTTGATATTTTCTTCTTGTTATTTTTTGATTTATATGTTGTCAATTGTTGATTGAGTCGACTAGTTTCACTAAGCTGCATTTTGAATAATAGAATGTGATGATAATTAACTGGATGAAAACAACGGAGTATCTCCAAAATAAAACAAATTTGAGATAGGAAAAATTAATGCAATGTTGTTTATTGTTTTTGTATATTGTTATGTTTACATGCTGTTGATTGTACTTGTAGGACAAGTTAGAATGTTGGGAGCCAGAAGGGTGTTAACTTATAAACTTGAACACAGATCTATAACGCCCTTCTGGCTTCAACTTCAGACGAAGTGAGCATGATGTGAGTGCAGTGCCTTTGATATTGATCTAAAAGGCATCGACTTCAAAAGGGCATCGTAAATGTGTGTGTGGGAGAGGGTGCTAAGCCATACACAATCTTTTTTCAGCCAAGCTACAATTTTGATAATTTTGAGCATGGTCGGTCAATTTCAACATATGATGCCTCGATTGTTTGTATGGTCTTTATATTAATTAATAATGTGGAATAGAATAGAATAGAATAGAATTTTATTGTCTTCTTCCGAAGAATGAAGAAACTTTCCTTCGAGGTTATGCATATACATAAACATTTCACAACTTATACAAAATTTATAATATAAATACAATTATACCAAAATATTCAAATGCATACTAAATACAAAAGTATTAGTTAATGAATAACATACGTACAAATAAATAGAATACAAACTACATAAAACATAAGGATAAAGGGAAGAAGACAAAAGGGAGAAATAGAGAAGAATATAGAATGATGGGAGTTAAAGGGGAATGTAGCCCCGGGGAAAGAAACTCAGAAACCGACATTCCCCCCCCCCCCCCCCCCTCCCTCACCACCTCCAGGTCCTCACTCTCTTTCAAACAAGTACGAAGAGACAGAGAGACTAGAAAGAGAAAAGAAAGAAGAAAGGGGAGAAAGAAAAGTAACAGAAAAAAGGAGAGAGAGGGAGAGAAATGTATTGCTTGAGGATGTCCCGACTCTTTCGTAAGCAACTATAGTTCGACAATAATTTCTATACCCATTTCACAAGCGACGGCATGAAAGTAATCTTAAAACGAAGATAAAGTGAAATAATCAAAACTTGTTTTTATAAATATTTTTTAATACTAAGAAATGAGAATGGCGATAAAAACGCACGAATAATACGATACAGATTTATTAGTTTGAACCACTCTTGTATAAAGATCAAGTTAGTCAAGTTTACCTAAATTTGCAATCGACGCACAATACAATTAGACACTAACACATTAAATATCTCATGTAGACAGCAGGCTATGGGACATGTATTTTGGTATGACAAAAAAACTCTTCGTAAACACTGAAAGACTCCTAAACCCAATATTAATGTTGTTGCTGATTACGATGATAATATCAAAAATAGTGGGTTTTCGTACAGCGCTCATATTATCTGTCATGCTTTGACACTCCTGGCGCTCCGCAACTAATGATGATGATAATGATGATGATAATGATGATGAGGATGATGATGATGAAAGGACTAAATGATAATGTCGATGGTGGTGATGATATCTATGACGATGAGTACGGTGATAGAAGTCACAAAGGACATACGACACTCAAATCGAACAGCTACTGGCTTCGCACAGACTGTCTGACTTTCAACAGTAGAGGACGCCAAACCGCTTTTGTATCGGGAGCAATATTGATCGCTTCTATGGCACTCTGTCCGTTATTTTCCTTAATTGATTGATTTTTAAATATTTGTTATCCATCCCAGTCTCGTGCGATCTGTTTCAAGACTTTGTAGCCCTCATACAGGCTTTTGATACTTTCAATCTCCACCGAAAAATAAAAATCCAATCTTAATAGACAACCAGGCGCGTACACAGGATTTTTTCAAGGGGGGGGGGGGGGGGGGTTTAACATTTATAAATCGGGCCGAAAATTTCGCAACGACTCAGCCAGCCGCTGAATAAGCGGGGGGGGGGGGGGGGGGTAAGAGGACACTTTTTTTGGGGGGGGGGTCTCGAAATTTGAAAAATTGACATTTGGCTTCGTTTGGGGGGGGGGGGGGGGGGGTAAGGTCACCTTTAAAAAAAAAAAAAAAATCCAAAGGGGGGGGGGGGGTTAGGGGGTGATGGGGGGTTTACATACATAAAAATACCAAGGGGGGGGGGGTTAACCCCCAACCCCCCCCCCTGTTTAACTGCTCTGAAAGGAACCATGCAGCATGCAGATGAGTCAGAGTTTGAATGAAATCGGACCCCCCCCCCCCCAACAAAAAAATTATAAAAAAAGAAAGAAGGAGATTTGCTTTTAATTTGTTTAATTCAAGTTGTTATCACTACATGTATTGGCTCTTCAAATTGTTCAATCTATAATGTTGTTGTCACGTAGGGCAGGACAACGTTCCCAACACAGAAAATGACTAAATTAAAAAAAGAAACTCGTTCAGTATGACTGGGATATGTATTTTTTATTTTACAGGACCTATACTGATAAGGCATTCATGATTTCTTAGGAGTAGAGTGCCTGAAGGGATAAACGAAATATGAAAACAAAAACATGAATAAGTGACTATTTGAGTACACAACAAACGGGACATTCATCCGTAGAAAAAAGAAAATTCAAGCCATTTCATATACAGAGCAGATGAGTTAGGAACTAGCAGGAGACGTCTGTAAGAGTACCAGAACAAACTGTTTAAAATGCCTGTAACCCTAATTATGTTGGTATTATTGCAAAAGATCTCTAAAATCTTCCTCATAATTCACATGTACTTTTCAATTCTGTTTACAGAATCATTTAATTTGCTGTCAAAAGTGATGAAATTGCTATCCGTTTTTCCGCCCTTGACTATTCCAGTATCTGGCCTATTTAATTTGATCTCCACCACACCAGCAATGCGACCTGCCCCACTAACTTGCTGCCAGCCAAAGATGGCGTAATCCTCAATTCAAAACGCCCGGCGAAAACAAAAAACGGTACTGAGGCTGTATTATGAGTTCGTTGATAACGCCATCTTCGGCGGCCTGAATCAAGTGTATAGGGAATATCAAGAACCAGCCAGATTCTGGACTAGCCCTTGATTAGCCCGCTGTTTGCTGGTATGATTCGTGACATATTAAGCTGGGCTACCCCCACCCCCTCCTCAGTGGACTGTCAGATGCATGTGTCGTGTATGTGTAATTATCACTCGGACGCCAAGTATCTCATCCGATGTCCAATCTTTAGTATGAAGTCCTACTTGATTTAGCCCATTCTCGAGACCCTATTTTTCCCGATGATTTTAGTCATCGAAATTGATGAAAGCAGCTTCACAGCAAGTGACAGTGATAATGATGATGTTGGGGAAGTAGGTGAGATAGGAGGAAGAGAAAGACTAAGAGAAGGAGCAGACGCCGTTCAGTGATGGTGCTGCTGCGGGGCAAGTCCCCGCCCCCACCTCACCCCCCCCCCCACTCCGGGAACGGAGGGATACCATGCGTGTTCCCAAAATCTCCGGCTCGTAACAAAAGAAAAAGGTCTACCCGTATTGACTTATCAAACCGGACTTTTGCTGAAAGGGGGGGGGGGGCGGTGCTGAAAAGTCTCGTATAACAAAAGAAAAAAGGTCTACCCGTATTGACTTTACACACCGGACTTTTGCTGAAGGGGGGGGGGGGGGGGGGTTGCTGGGAACACGCATATACGTACCCTAAATAACACTGAGTTTGGGGGGGGGGGGGGGGGAGTCATAGCCTATGTGCACGAACCTGAGCCTCGCGCTTTGGCGAATGGGCGCCGGAGACTAGCCCCACTCTTTCTTTCATTCTATCATTTTTTTAAATGTATGCATCATTAATTTGTTCATTATGTAATCCCTAACATAAGAAAAGTGCCCCTTTACGTCAGATAAGTGCCTATTTCACCTTCTTATAAGTGCCCCTTACCACCTATCATAATAATCCCCATTATCTTGGATAATTTCCTCTATTCGAATTTGAGAGGTGCCCCATTTCCTTCATATTAAGTGCCCCTTTTCCATTCTCATAAATGTACCTTGACATTTCTGGTGATTCGAATGCCCTTTTTACCTCTGATTGTTTCATTTTTTAAACTTTGACACGTGCCCTTTTTCCTTCTGATTTGTGCCCCTTCCCTTTTTAATTAGAGCCTCTTCCCTTTTTCATTAATGTCCCATTTTTCAACTCTGATAACTCTGATAAAAGGGTGCCCCTTTTTCTTCGACAAATGCCCCTTTTCCATTCTTACTAGTGCCTTTTTCATCTCTGATTCGAGAGCCCCTTTTCAGGTGCGAGAAGTGCTCCATTTTCACTATTCTTAATCGCCCCCTTTTGTAATACTTTGAACCGTCCTCCTGTTCTGTTCTAATTAGTGTTCTTTTCCATGTTGATAAGTGCTACCCTTTTCCTTTATAATGTCCTTAATTTAAAGCGATTAAAAACAGCATTTTCTTCAATTTTCAAAAACAAAGCTCACTCGCATTTAAAATATTGTTACCATTAAAGATATGTTCAGTTTGTCATGATTATATTGCGCTTAAAGACCCACCAGTATTGTTTTTCCCCTTTATAAGATGTATTTTTGCACACCGTAATATCACAAATCTTTCTTTTTTGCCCGCTCGCTTCGCTCTCTTGCAAAAATAATTATTCACACCATCACATTCGACTGCAAAGTATGATGCCTAATCAGTATCATAGGCCATGTAAAGAGAAAATTAAATATTGAAATCATCCCTAATAATCTAATCACAATGTAGGCGTACAAACAAATGTATACACATTTTATATTTTCACTTTGAGGTTTCCCTTTGAAGGTGCCCCCTTTCCAAGAAAGTGCCCTTTTTTGTTGGTGCCCCCTACTTCAGAAGAAGCTCAGACCCGTGAATAATGTGATTAGTTGTATGAATTCGGCGAAATATTGCTGCAGCTAGCTAGTTTAAAGAGGCGACTATAGTAATTAGGTGTGATTTGGTCAATTTGTTTCTTCTGAAATACCATAATCTAAATTTTCATGTTGAATAAAGCACTACAAGTATGTTACATTCAAGTTCAAAGACAAGTATTTCATGGTATTTAATGACCTTGCACTTTTCCTTCACCCCAAACATGCACTTATTAAAAAAAATCATTAAAAACAAGATTCTAAAAC